GAGGGACTGACATTGAAGAGGGACATTGTGGGGGGCTGACATTGTGGAGAGGGCTGACATTGTGGAGAGGCTGACATTGTGGAGAGAGGCTGACATTGTGGAGAGGGCTGACATTGTGGAGAGGGCTGACATTGTGGAGAGGGCTGACATTGTGGAGAGGGCTGACATTGTGGAGAGGGACTGACATTGTGGAGAGGGCTGACATTGTGGAGAGGGCTGACATTGTGGAGAGAGGCTGACATTGTGGAGAGGGCTGACATTGTGGAGAGAGGCTGACATTGTGGAGAGGGACTGACATTGTGGAGAAGGCTGACATATGTGGAGAGGGCTGACTTGTGGAGAGGAGCTGACATTGTGGAGAGGGCTGACATTGTGAAGAGGCTGACATTGTGGAGAGGGCTGACATTGTGGAGAGGGCTGACATTGTGGAGAGGGCTGACATTGTGGAGAGGGCTGACATTGTGGAGAGGGCTGACATTGTGGAGAGGGCTGACATTGTGGAGAGGGCTGACATTGCTGGAGAGGGCTGACATTGTGGAGAGGGCTGACATTGTGGAGAGGGCTGACATTGTGAGAGAGGCTGACATTGTGGAGAGGGCTGACATTTGGGAGAGGGCTGACATTGTGGAGAGGGCTGACATTGTGGAGAGGGCTGACATTGTGGAGAGAGGCTGACATTGTGGAGAGGGCTGACATTGTGGAGAGAGGCTGACATTGTGGAGAAGGCTGACATTGTGGAGAGGGCTGACATTGACATTGGGAGAGGGCTGACATTGTGGAGAGGGCTGACATTGTGGAGAGGGCTGACATTGTGGAGAGAGGCTGACATTGTGGAGAGAGGCTGACATTGTGGAGAGGGCTGACATTGTGGAGAGGGCTGACATGTGGAAGGCTGACATTGTGGAGATAGGCTGACATTGTGGAGAGGGCTGACATTGTGGAGAGGGGCTGACATTGTGGAGAGGGCTGACATTGTGGAGAGAGGCTGACATTGTGGAGAGGGCTGACATTGTGGAGAGTAGGCTGACATTGTGGAGAGGGCTGACATTGTGGAGAGGGCTGACATTGTGGAGAGAGGCTGACATTGTGGAGAGAGGCTGACATTGTGGAGAGGGCTGACATTGTGGAGAGAGGCTGACATTGTGGAGAGGGGCTGACATTGTGGAGAGAGGCTGACATTGTGGAGAGGGCTGACATTGTGGAGAGAGGCTGACATTGTGGAGAGAGGCTGACATTGTGGAGAGGGGCTGACATTGTGGAGAGGGCTGACATTGACATTGTGGAGAGAGGCTGACATTGTGGAGAGGGCTGACATTGTGGAGAGGGCTGACATTGTGGAGAGAGGCTGACATTGTGGAGAGAGGCTGACATTGTGGAGAGGGGCTGACATTGTGGAGAGGGGCTGACAATGTGGAAGGGCTGACATGTGGAGAGAGGCTGACATTGTGGAGAGGGCTGACATTGTGGAGAGAGGCTGACATTGTGGAGAGGGCTGACATTGTGGAGAGGGGCTGACATTGTGGAGAGAGGCTGACATTGTGGGAGAGGGCTGACATCTGTGGAGAGGGCTGACATTGTGGAGAGGGCTGACATTGTGGAGAGAGGCTGACATTGTGGAGAGAGGCTGACATTGTGGAGAGGGCTGACATTGTGGAGAGGGCTGACATTGTGGAGAGAGGCTGACATTGTGGAGAGGGCTGACATTGTGGAGAGGGCTGACATTGACATTGTGGAGAGAGGCTGACATTTTGGAGAGGGCTGACATTGTGGAGAGGGCTGACATTGTGGAGAGGGCTGACATTGTGGAGAGGGCTGACATTGTGGAGAGAGGCTGACATTGTGGAGAGGGCTGACATTGTGGAGAGGGCTGACATTGTGGAGAGGGCTGACATTGTGGAGAGGGCTGACATTGTGGAGAGAGGCTGACATTGTGGAGAGGGCTGACATTGTGGAGATGGCTGACATTGTGGAGAGGCTGACATTGTGGAGAGAGGCTGACATTGTGGAGAGAGGCTGACATTGAATTGGAGAGAGGCTGCATTGTGGAGAGGGCTGACATTGTGGAGAGGGCTGACATTGTGGAGAGGGCTGACATTGTGGAGGAGGCTGACACTGTGGAGAGAGGCTGACATTGTGGAGAGGGGCTGACATTGTGGGGAGGGGCTGACATTGTGGAGAGGGGCTGACATTGTGGAGAGGGGCTGACATTGTGGAGAGAGGCTGACACTGTGGAGAGAGGCTGACACTGTGGAGAGAGGCTGACATTGTGGAGAGAGGCTGACACTGTGGAGAGGGGCTGACATTGTGGAGAGAGGCTGACATTGACATTGTGGAGAGAGGCTGACATTGTGGAGAGGCTGACATTGTGGAAGAGGCTGACATTGTGGAGAGGGCTGACATTGTGGAGAGGGCTGACATTGTGGAGAGGGCTGACATTGTGGAGAGGGGCTGACATTGTGGAGAGGGGCTGACATTGTGGAGAGGGGCTGACATTGTGGAGAGAGGCTTACACGTGGAGAGAGGGCTGACATTGTGGAGAGGGGCTGACATTGGGGAGAGGGCTGACATTGTGGAGAGGGCTGACATTGTGGAGAGGGCTGACATTGTGGAGAGGGCTGACATTGTGGAGAGAGGCTGACATTGTGGAGAGGGCTGACATTGTGGAGAGGGGCTGACATGTGGAGAGAGGCTGACATTGTGAGAGGGCTGACACTGTGGAGAGGGCTGACATTGTGGAGAGGGGCTGACATTGTGGAGAGAGGCTGACACTGTGGAGAGAGGCTGACATTGTGGAGAGGGGCTGACATTGTGGAGAGAGGCTGACATTGTGGAGAGAGGCTGACACTGTGGAGAGAGGCTGACATTGTGGAGAGAGGCTGACATTGTGGAGAGAGGCTGACACTGGGAGAGAGGCTGACATTGGGTGTTAGTTTGGGGAACGTCGCATATTTTTACATTGTTAACATATGATATTAAAAGTCTGTGATAATTTCATTATAAATAGTTGTGTGTATATATATTAATACTTGAGGTGCTGTTGGAGTGTGAACAAAGTAACATTTATGAAGGGATTCAGGAAAACCGGCAGGCCGGACTTGAGTCCTGGAGATGGGAAATACAGTGCCTGCACTCTGAAGGAGGGGTGTTAATGTTGCAGTTTTATAACTGTAGTGTAAAGCACCCCTCAGCAAGACAGTGATGGAGTGAATGATAATGAAAGTTTTTCTTTTTCGGGCCACCCTGCCTTGGTGGGAATCGGCCGATGTGTTAGTAAAAATAAAATAAAATATATATTTTCATGAGTTTCAGTCTAAGGCATAAAATGTATGGATGGTTTCTTCAAAATTAGCGTTACTTAGCTTTAGGGTTGTATCAGAAATGTTTCGGTTAATTAAGAGGCTACATGTGAGCTGCGGACACCTGTTTCCACCAGCGTCCCTCACCTGACGGAAAAGAATACGCTGAAGTCTCTCATGGAGATTACATGTAAACAAACAATTCATCATTTTAGAAAGTAAGTACCGCGACAGCTTAAAGGATTCTCTGTTACCTGTGATGCTTCCCACGGTATGGCGTCCTGGGTTTCTTCCCCTCGTCCCACCACCCCACACTTCAACGATCCCCTGCTTCTCTCTTCTCCGACATTTCTACGACCCCCTGCCTCTATCTACTCCACACCTCCATGGCCCCCTGCCTCTACCTCCTCTCCAGCACTTCCACAATCTTCCTTTCATATTTTGGCCAGGATGCCGCGTAGCTCACTTGTTATATCGTGTTGGTTCCAGGGAACATCTCCTCTTTCCCTGCGACCCGGTCTCAGACCAGGCCGCCTAAATGGGAAAGGAAATATTTAACGTATAACAACTATTAAGAAAATCACAGGAAAGGAAACATAAGTGTATACTGAATGAAATTAGAACCTTGTAAAATTTACTGTCATCTTACGTGTTCATGAGACAAAGAAAAGATCAGTAATCCTGCCAGAGGGCAGAAGACAAGTTTCCTTGAATCACAGTTATACTCCTGCTGCCTCTCTCCACATAGCATTAACATAGATGTGTGTGTGTGTGGCTGCGTGGTAGAACATGGCAGGATAACAGAGCTAGCTTGTGTTTCCTACCATGTTGCTATCATTTAAAGTAGGTGAGCAGCCCACTGTTGTGCCCACTTTTGTTTAACACGAGTGTGTAATTATGAAATGGGAGGTAATCAGGTTTGATTCGAGAAAAGGGAGAACAGCTGCAACTCCTTAGATCAACAGCCATTATTATTATTATTATTATTATTATTATATTATTATTATTATTATTTTTATTAAGCTGTGAGTGAAACATCGTCAGAATAAAGGCATGCTCTACATACTCTCTCTCATTACCATTTGACAGTTTAACCAACACTGGAAATGTGATAGCACCGCAGTGAGTGTCCTTGAAGGTGCTCTCCTGAACGTGGACACTATTGTTAGTAGCATCACCCTCGTTACTGCTGTATAATTACCAGGAAGCTGGTGGGGGTTATACCACCGGTATCCTCATTGCACCATGCTCTTAAGTGATTCTCTGTGTTGAGGGGACTGCAAGGTTGTGTGTGGTACTTGCATAAGAAAGATGTGATTACCTGTGTCTAGCTACAGGAGCAGGACTGTGCTCCTTGTGTTCCGTCTTAGATAATCTTTCCATGATATAATATTGTAAAGTTTTCAGTGGCCATGGCACCTATTAATTCTTCTTTTAATGCATTCCATTAATTAACTATTCTGTTTGGGGAGAAAAATGTCTTATTGTGCATTCTGTTCAGGTTTTTCCTTAATTTGCAGTTGTGGCCTCTTATCCCCGTTGCAGTGTGTGTGTATGTGGCCAGGTGCTTACCTCCCCGCTATCGTGTGTGTGATAATGATGAGTCAGTCTCCCTCTCTCACGTGTGAGTTAGAGAGGGGAGACGTTTTGAGAGATTGTGCTGAAGGGGTGAGATGAGAGTAAACCCAAGTCTCTCTCTCACAGGTGGAGCGACTCTCAGAGTACGAGCAGTACTTCGCCTCTCTGCTGGTGGACACTCACCCAGACCATCCAGACCGTCACCACCTGGCCAACCACCATGACACACTCACTCAGGTAAGTACCGCACCTGGTCACCCTCCATCGCTCTCAAACTCTGACGTAAGTACCTCCCCTTGTTACCCCCAAATCACTGTGACACACTGAAATGGGTCAGTACCATATCTAGTAACCCATCATTGTGACATACTGAATTAGGTCACTACCACACCGGATCAGCCGGGCTGTGGTTCGTACGTTGGACTACGCGCGGCTAGCAGTAACAGCCTGGTTGATCAAACCCTGATCCACCAGGAGGCCTGGTCGTGGACCGGGCCGCAGGGGCGTTGATCCCCGGAATACCCTCCAGGTAGTCACCCATCACTGTGACACATGCAGGTGTCCCCTGACACTGGATCAGGGGACCCACCCTCCACACAGTCTCTCAGACACACTAAATCACTCCATCACTGTGACTACTTAGGTATGTCACCAGACACTGGGCCACTCTGGTTGTAGCACACTTACAGTAGTCTAAGACACACCCACCGACGCACCACTAGAATACTCGTTCAGGTCACTCCCAGACACACTCGTAAATGTTTTCTTGTGTGCATCCAATATTTCTTTTTTTTTTTGTCAGAAATTTTATTGTTCCCCTCTAATGTCTCTTTCTATTGCTAATGCATTTGTTTATGATTCATTGTTGATATTTTTTTTAGTTTACGTCAACGCTGGCAAAGGTAAACAGGTAATGGAAGTGGGCGTGGCAGCGATCGTTGTATATTTTCTGTAGTATACTGTTACAAGACGCGGCACAGAAAACGGGCTGTTGAAGCCATGACTAGCTGGAATTATGGCCAACAGATGGCAGGACCCTCGTCACTGCGGCAGCTCTCGGGGATGATAGAAGACGTGAAAATGCAAAATGTATTTTGTTAATGTATAGTGGAGATTCCACTCAGTTTTTACTTTCACCAACACGAAATCCTTAGCTTCCACTCCCCTCAAAAAAAAAAAAAAAGTTAGGAAATAGGTTAAACTCACATAATATTAGGTCTTTGAATAATGGGGGATTGAAAGCCTATCGGCTACACGAGGGTCATAAGGCTGCACACCTGTTCACCAGTATTCAAGAATGGTCATGTAATAGAGTTTAATAAACTCTCAGTGTATATACAATAAGAGACAGTGGGTACAGATCGCATAAAACAACCCATAGAAGTTACGACAATCCCACTCCAAGTGATTTTTTAGTGGCAGGAAACGAAAAAAGAAAATGGGTAGAAATAACCAAAATATTCCACCACCTTAGTGCCTTGTTGAACTGTAGGCACCGCCAGTACCCCCTCCCCCTTGGAGCCCTGTTGGAACTGAGAAAAACTGCCAGTGCCCCTCCCCCTCGTGAGCATGTGATGGAGGCACCGATGCGCCCCCTCACCCTAGGAGCCTTTGGACTGGAGGCACAGATAGTCCCACCCATATCTTTGAGCCATGGTGGAATGGAGACACAGCCAATATTCCCCCCTTGGAGCCTTGTTGGACTGTAGGCACAGCCAATGCCCCCCCTCCCCCTTGGAGCCTGTTGGACTGGAGGCACAACCAGTGCCCCCCTCCCCCTTGGAGCATTGTTGGACTGGATGCACAGCCAGTGCCCCCCCTTCCCTTGGAGCCTTGTTGAACTGGAGGCACCGCCACTGCCCCCCCATATGGAGCCTTGTTGGACTGGAGGCACAGCCAGTGCCCCCCTCCCAAAAGGAGCCTTGTTGAACTGGAGGCACAGCCAGTGCCCCCCTCCCAAAAGGAGTCTTATTGGACTGGATGTACAGCCATCATCCTCCATGGAGCCTTGTTGAACTGGAGGCACAGCCAGTGCCCCTCCTCCCCCATGGAGCCTTGTTGGACTGGAGGCACAGCCAGTGGCCCTCCTCCCCCATGGAGCCTTGTTGGACTGGAGGCACAGCCAGTGGCCCTCCTCTCCCCATGGAGCCTTGTTGGACTGGAGGCACAGCCAGTGCCCCTCCTCCCCCATGGAGCCTTGTTGGACTGGAGGTACAGCCAGTGGCCCTCCTCCCCCATGGAGCCTTATTGAACTGGAGGCACAGCCAGTGGCCCCCCTCCCCCATGGAGCCTTGTTGGACTGGAGGCACAGCCAGTGGCCCATCCCCTCAAGAAACACACCTACTGATGCTAACAACAAAATCACCCAAAAATCACGCAACAAAACTTCATTTATATTTGCCATCCACCACCAACAAAATACCTTTCATTATTGGACTTTAGAGGCAAATGCAATGTTTGCAGCCTTCATAGAGACCTACAAAAGACCACTTTGACAGCGAAATATGGATAGCATGATACAACTTTTGTAGATGCGACAGAAAGAACAGGCAACAAGGGAAGGTTGGCCTGTATGTCAGAGTCGCTCATTTGCACGGAGATACTGAACACCACAAATGATGTAGTTGAAGTTCAGACAGTGAATATCGAGAACCAAAAATTAGTCATTGTGATTATTTATAAGCCACCAGATGCAACTTCCCGACAGTTCAAGGAATAGTTATTGAAAATTGACTACTGTCTGGAAAACCTTCCAGCCCCAGCCCCAAACATCATACTGCTTGGTGATTTCAATCTAAGACATACAAAATCTAAGAATGTAGCAAATAATGTTACATCAGAGACTATCTCTGGAGGCACCTCAGATGAAAAGTTTCATACATACATAAGTTGCTGAATCTCTGCAATAAATACACCTTAAACCAACACATAGTGGAGCCATCAAGACTGGAAAACACACTTGACCTTATTTTCACAAATGATGACCTGGTAAGAAACATAACAAAATCAAAAGCAACTAATTCAGATCACAATCTAACCGAAGTCCAGACTTACATGCACAGGGGTCCTGACCAGGGTGGGAGCCTTCACCAAATTCAACTTCAGTAACAAAAATATAAATTGGGATCAGGTAAACCATGTCCTAAATGAAACATGTTGGGAAGATATCTTAAAAAACACGGATCCAAACCGGTGCCTTGAAAGGATCAATTTTCTGGCAGCTGCAGTATGTTGGGAAAAAAAAAAAGAAAAATTAAACTGGAAAGAGAGAGACTCCCTCTACAGGAGAAGGCGAAGATTATCTGAAACAAGGAAGTATTGACCAGGGAAGTGGAAAATATTGAGTTAAAGTTAAACGATTCATACAGGATCCAGGAGAGACAGACTATGAAGAACCACTTAGTAAATATCGCAAGCAAGGCAGCCAGGAGGCTTTCAGCACTTCGATGTATCTCGCATCCGCTCGGCAGTAGAGACTGCAAGTGCGCTCACACCTCGAGTATGATTAATTTTCTTGGAATGTTTGCCTCTCGTTTCACCTATGACTTCATGACAGAACAGAGCAGGACGACTTATCTCTCGTCTGGACTCGTCCTGGACAGATGTGTCTTTTTACCAGAGCCTTCAACACAAGAGAGATGTGGGCGGCCTAACTTATGTACAAGGCCAATATTGTCAAGGTCCCACATTAGGCTCCACTTCGTGGTCACCAAAAAGAGAGCTTCTACACCACAAGACGGGCAGCAAACAGCAACTATACTCTCGTTGAACCCTTCTCAAGAACATCACTTTATCTGAGATCATTCATTTTAAATTTAATCGAGTTTGGAACATGTTCGTGCAGCATAGTGACATTGATGAAATAGTCATTCGACCAAATGAAATCGCTGGCCCACAGATGGGTCCAACTTCATCCTATTCCCTGTTTGTAGGTCTCATAACAAAAAGACTTCCAGATGAACGGAGGTATGTAACAGCTCTTAGCTTGTAAATGAAGGTAGGCATTCATAACCTAACCCAACCTGTAAAGCCATTGTGTGTGTAGAGAGAGAGAGAGAGAGAGAGAGAGAGAGAGAGAGGCAGGGAAATAAGGAATGAGAGAAAGAGAATGAAGGAAGGAAGGGGTGTGTGTCAACAGGGAGGGGCGGCACCTGCACTACGCATGAAGTGCTGAGATTATCTCAATAAGGACAGGTGGTTCCTGCTTACACCTTCACTCACTCACCCACAACAGGTGAGTCTGTGCTAGGCGTCGACTTAATTCCCTCTTCTGTGGTGACTCCCCTGTCAGGTGAAGGGTTGAAAGCATTCCCTGGTGATTTTCCTGTCAGGTGAAGAGTATGTGTGTGTGTGTGTGTGTGTTTGGATGGTTGCAGGTTTTCTATTGGCCAGCAGCAAGTTTTCCAGTACTGGTTCTCCACACTGTGTGGAAAGTGATTGATACCTCATGTATGTGCTGGTTAATATGGGAGATTGTGCCTGACAATCTCGGAAGTGTGGGGCTGGGCAGGTGTGGGCATAGGCCTACAGGTGAGGGAGAGACCTACAGGGGTGGCGTAGGTGTGAAGGACAGAAGTACACAGACAGGCGCTGTAAATGTAAAGATCGTGATGACTGGAAATTCTTAAGGGAAGTAATCACTGTTAACTGTGCTCTAGTATTTTGGGTGGCTCCCACGAGATTATGCAACCTCCTACACCACCCAGATCACGTCAAGATGTTTACGTGTGTGTGTGTGTTGTGTGTGTGTGTGTGTGTGTGTGGAGAGAGAGATCCTGAGTGGTTGAGATTGAGAAGCACTCCACCCATACATAATTAGCTTAACCCTAATGACCCAGCCATCACAGGTAGAGATAAGTTATAATTAATCACCCCCCTTTCTCCCACCATCACTACAACCACCACAACTACCGTCATTAGTTACAACTGCCATAGCACCCTCCCGTACCCCGCCACCCCCTCCCTGGTTAACCCTTCTCCCCCACCAACACCACCACTTCCACCTCCACATAGAACCCCCCCCACCACCACCACCACCAAAACCCCACCCCCACCACCACCACCAAAACCCCCACCCCCACCACCACCCACCAAAACCCCCACCCCCACCACCACCACCAAAACCCCCACCCCCAATACCACCAACACCAACACCACCTCCACCACGCACGGTATGGTGCTCACTCCCGGAGGGGGAATGTTAAGTGCCTGTTAGTATCTGAGTGGGTTTTGGCGTT